AGTATACAGCAGGGCCATGGAAATAAAACTATTGGTGTAATGGCAGGAGGCGATAACAATTATACCATACATTGTCTTCAAAAATTCTTTGTGCATAGGCCTGGGGGCTTTCCTTTAGAAGAACATGCATTTACTATGTGAACGCTGCCTACTAACGGCGTACTTCCTAAGAGACGGAGAATATTTCCGATAATATAGACTGCGAGGCCAACTCACAGTGTAGATAACAGTGGATCTATGAGTGTATAGTTATACATTTATATATGTTTCTAATGATATTTCTTTCTTTGCCTATATTCAGAATGAGTCCAAAATCATTTATTGAAAATGACTTATTGATAGCAGTATATAATATTAAAAAATGTGAAGCATAGCCCATATTATTTCGGCGGTGTAATGGTTAACAAGCATGTCTCTATAGACTGAATAATGAGTTCAATCCTTACTGGGTACCCAGTACTTTCGGCCTCTCGCCACATCAAAGCTACGTTTGGAAGATCAATTTAGTAACAATTTTTTTTCTTTTGTACATTGAGTGATTGTTTTTTTTTTTTTGTTTTTGTTATATTAACCTCAATGTGTTAATTAAAGCCAACAAGGGTTTTATTGCTGGTAATACTTTTTTCGTTTATTGCTGGTAATAAGATTTAAAAAAAAACTATAGTGCTGCTATAAAAACCTATTTTGATACTTTCATAGTATTTTGACACCAGTTTTGGGGTAAACTATTTGCCTTTAGCTGGGATCTTAACATGTGTTACCACCCCGGGTCAGGATGAATGCCAGCAATTAAGAGGTCGTTCCAAGCTCTTCGGAACCTCCTGATCATAGACCTTGCTGCCGGATGTAGTTTATCGTTATACCCAAGAGGGGTGAGGGGGATATTTCTTACCTCTCTGCAAAGGCGTAGTCGGTGTATTCTGAAACCCTACCTGATACGGCAAGAAAGTGATTGAGTTATTCTTATTAATGATAATGGTAATATAGAGCCGTTTCTTTATAAGGAAATGTTCGGAATACATTGACATTCAACAATGTTCAGCATTCAGTAGCCAGTGTTACTTTCGGTTGAAATTTATAAAATCTTTCGCTTAAAACATTCTTTTCCAGGAAGTTAGGTTTCGTAAGTCCAGTAACTGTTATCGCCCTTTCCAGTGTTGATGGGGACTTTCTTCTTTGCTTTCTACTACCGTTTCTTTCTACTATCATTTCTTTATAAGGAAATGTACGACATACATTGACATTCAACAATGTTCAGCATTCAGTAGCCAGTGTTACTTTCGGTTGAAATTTATAAAATCTTTCGCTTAAAACATTCTTTTCCAGGAAATTAGGTTTCGTAAGTCCAGTAACTGTTATCGCCCTTTCCAGTGTTGATGGGGACTTTCTTCTTTGTGTTCTACTTAAAGTAGAATATCAACATCTTGATTATAACTTACACTTACATATGCTATCCATTTTAATTCGTGCTGTTCTTGAAAGTCCTCAAGTGATGTTTATTTTTTATTATTTGGTACATTTCTTTCTTTGTGATTCTGTAGCGCCAGTTTACGATGTTCAAAAAAGTGTGTCCGTCTCTGAGATATACAAGCTTCATTCGCTCGAAGTCATTTTTAACTACTGATATTAAGAAGCGGTTGTATATCGCTGATAGTTAAGATATATCCAAACAGGTTTGGCGTCAACATAACAACTGCATAATAGTCGCGATTTGACGAGGCTGTTTAAGAACGTGACTCGAGCTTTTAGGTTTAATATTTGGGTTTTGTAGCAATTTGAGGTTTGGTGCGGGGAACTTACACTTGCCCATCTTATGTTTAAATATTTAACCTCCGAAACTAAATTTCTCATAAGTGATCCATTCACAGATGCATTTGAAGTGTTTCTTCTTATTCTATCTACTGCGTCACTCTAGTATAGGGGCGATCATGCCTCTTCAGAATTTTCTATCTCTTGTACCTTTAGTAGTTTTCTTTCCCTTTGCTGAGGCTCTACCCCCACCCTCTGTTCCGGCATCTATACACACATTCTCGTCATTTATGTAACACTCTGCCTTCCCCTATCTCTTTCCCCCTCAATATGCCCTGGTAATTTTCTTTTCAAGCCCTCCTTCCCGATTATATGTTCGAACTAGATGGAAAAATCTAAAACATCAGCTGGAGATCCCATACAACGCTTAACACAATTTACGGAGACCTGAGATCAATCTCTCTTAAGCCGAAACAAAAAAGATTACAGTTTACCGGCCACTTCCACTGAGCAGACAGGAAAATCGTCTCATCATTTCTCCTATGATATCCTTCTGGAAATGTGTTCTCACGAAACTTGACTTTCCCAGACACCATAGCCCGGGACTCAGGGTTGAACATTGGGGATCCTGAGACAGCAATGCAGGACCGAACAGTGTGGAAAGAGATTGTCAATGGAGTTCTGGTCAACCATACGGAGGTCGAAGGATGATGATGATGATAATGATGTGTCCAAGGAATTTAAACTGTTTTTTCTTGATTCTTAGCATAAGTGTTCCTTTTGTTACCATTTTCTATAAGATATCCTTTTTGCTTACTCGATTTGTCCGTGGAATTCTTAGTTTCCCTCTCCAGAACCACATTTATCTTCTTATCAATGAGATTGTCCATCATTCACCATCATATAAGAGGATGGACAATACATAGCAATCCAGTATTTTTTTCTTTGTTTCTAACGAAATTTGTTCTGTTTCATAGCCTTTTGTTTAGCATTTGGAATGCGTCTTTTGCTAGTCCAATGCCTGTTCGGTGTCACATTTTCCATCCTCTGTTAAAACACTCACCAGATATTTAAACCGATGTAGTTGCTTGATGCTGGACCATGCCATTTTTAACTCGCATCTTGGGAATTTTTTCACTTGCTGGTGTCCATACATTCCGTCTTCTTGCAGTTGATTGTTACAGATTTTTCTCGCCTTCTACTACACTGTCTAAGAGTTCCTGGAGTTTTCTTTGCGTATTAGCCATCAACACGGTGCATCCGATATTGTTAAGATTTGACACCCACCAATATAAAATCTCGTTAAAATCACCAGCTCTTTTAGGATAACGTCACTGCAGAGATTAAATAAATAAATTAATCTTTTTTCTTACGCCCATTTCTATTTTTGTGTGTAGTTACTCTATTCATTTTCTACCCGTAATGCAGGTGGCTTTTGTCCAAGTATAAGTTTTAGATAATTCAACGATTTTTCAACCATTTCATCCCAAGAAAAACGGTAATGCTACTTCTACGTAGAGTGAAAGTGAAAGAGAAGACTGAGAATAGGGAGGATTGAGGAAAGGACAAAATATGAAGGCGATTGAAGAAGACAGAAGATGGCGATTAATGCTGCAATTAAATTTTTGAAGATTGTAGTTATCAGGGAAGCAAGTAAATGGAAGGGAGTTCCACATGTGGGAAGTCTGAGAAAAATGTTAGAGTAGAAGTGGCGATTGATTTGTTTGTTTTGTTTTGTTTTATGGCATATCAGCCTCAATGGGTTATTTAATGCCGAAAAGATTTTAATTGTTGGTAATGTGTTTTTTTTTAATACTGTATTGCTGTTAATATTATTTTTCAAAAATGTAATGCTGGTAATGTTTTTTCTTCAAAAATGTAATGCTGATAATATTTTTTCTTCAAAAATGTATTGCTGGTAATATTTTTTCCAAAATATATTGCTGGTAATTATGTATTGCTGGTAAATATTTTTTCTTCAAAAATTCATTGCTGGTAATAATTTTTACGAAAATGTATTGCTGGTATTAAAACCTATTTTTACACTTTCCCAGCGCTTTGACCCCAGCTGGGAGGTTAATCACTTGCTCATAGATGGGACCGTAACACGTGCCACCGCCCGGGGTCAAGGCGTCCCTGGAAACAACAGCAATTAAGAGGTCCCGATCAGTGGTTTTGCTGTTGGATACTGTTTATTATATTACCCAGGATGCGTAGCGGTTGCATTTAATTATTTCAACAATAAAACTGAGGGACCTAGATGCCAATCTAGTAGCACGCTTAAATTCATTTAGTTGGAACAAGCAGGGAAAAAAACTCGTCAGCTGCCATTAAACTATTTGTAGGAAAGACAGAGGGAAGGTCACGTCATGTCGGTAAGAAAGTTACTGAAGTCGAGCTGCCTGGTCAGGATCGATTAAATTACAGACTCTTCGTTGGATTTTGTTAAGAATGTCAAGATGTACAGCAGGTGCACCAAACCAGATATGGCAACATTATTAAATGCACAGACGAATGGTTGATTGATAAATGGGCAAGATGGATTCTGACAAGAAAATCTTCAGGCATGACACAGAAAGCGAACTTTCGTTGCAGTAGATGCAACTATTGATTCGATGTAGCCGCTCTACATCAAGTCAGGGGAAAACGTGAGGTCAAGAAAACGCAATGTGTTGCTCCCCTGGAGTTTAGCGTCAACCATGCTGCTGGCAATTATAAATGGTTCCCTATGGTGGTTAACTGAAAGTAATTTAGTTTTGGAGGCGTTAAACTTTACAAGCCATTTCTTGTCCCAATTAACTTCTGATTGGAGGTACTTTTCAAGCATACTTTCTTTGTCGTGGATTTTAAAGATGGATTAAGTGTAAGTGCCATCACTTCTTTCATTCCAATTCTAAATCATTTCCGTTTTGCATAGGGATATCTAGAGTCCTATGTCTTGAAAAACTTAGCAGAGGATGTTGATTTTTGTTTAAGATCATTTTCATTCCAACTATGAATACCTATGTCATCGGTATAGTTTCTTTCATTATTTGTACACTGGCTTTTGTAAGGAAAGCTAGAACACGATTTTTCTGCTAACAGATTCGTTTGGGATGTGGTATAGAATGTTAAAAGAACAGAGACATAGCTTGATTTCAATCTTCCGAGTAGAAATATCTGCCAGTTTTGAAAATCAGCATCCAAATATTTGGTAGTTATCTGATCCAATGCATAAGATTTATCTCAGGAAGGTAGACAGATTGATAAACTGATAGCCCGACATATAAACTGCTGGTTTGCTGGATAGATAGATAGATAGATAGATAGATATTAATATTCTGAGATATGTAAACGTATACGAACAGACAGACATGAACTTACTTAGATAGGTAGAACAGGTTGTGATAGAGATAAATATGCTGAGAAAGAAAGAAAGAAAGAATGAAAGAAAGAAATTGTTAAACCGATAGACAGTATTCTGTATACAAAAGTAGGTATACACTAATGAAAAAACAAAACGTGTACACAGAATGTATTGTATTGATTATACAAACATATAAATAATAACATAATAATAGACACATCAATCATTCAAATGTTCAAACTGTTTATTCCCGTCATTCAAACACACCGCTTTACCTGCAAAACATTTATTATTATTATGTATTAAAAAATATAAAGAATTATAATAAAGTATTGTAATAAACATTATGAAAATAAAAATATTAACAATGATTTAATGAATTAAATGAATTTTAGAATCACTATTATAATACTGGTAATATTGATATAATATTTACTGTATACCTATTTTACAGACCTTTGTATATCAATTGCAATTTTACTGCATGTATATTACAGAATTGTTTGCATCGTCTCGTGTTATTTAGTATGATCATATAACGAGACGCTGATCAAACGATATGGACGCCACTAGTACCCTCTGTAAGGTGGGGGTCAACTCAATCCGTTCCTCCAACAGGCTTAAAAATATCACGATTTACTGTCAAAGGGCGGATGAATCCTCTTGTGGGCCAACAGCAATTTAGCACAATCAAGCTATGTATGCTGTTATTTTCGGGATGACAGGGCATCACTGTCCGGAGAGCTTTATATATTGAGTTCAATGGCAAAGTCGGAGGGTTTCTCCGATTAAATCAATGGTTACTTGTCTTTGACTAAGGCAAACCTTTAAGTTGGAGGACATCGGCTGGAGTTTGATCTTGAGAGAGATGGGCCCTGCTGGATATACATACCTAAAACACTCTACACATGTTGATGTACTTTTGTTTGGTACAATGCTATATTACTGAAACATGTCAAAAGTCAAGAGGAAAGATTATGGCCTTGGCTTTGGGGATGAGAAAAGTAATGTGATGATTGGCTTTTTAAAGAGGGTTCTACGTCCTAATGCGGGCTGTTATTCTTAACTTGCACTGCTAAATAAAGGAGGAACTGAAAGATAAAGAGAGGCTGAGAGTTTGTGATAGAAACAAGAAAGACGAGTATCTTGTCTCTGAATGTCTCGGATGCGATGTTATTGTTTAAATTATTTATATTCGGAATAATATTCTCGTCTTTTTTGTTACTATCACGACGTTTCGGGGATTGTGATTCTCCAATGGTTTTCATCAGATTCTTATCCGTCCGAGCAACGTTTAGGTAATTTTGCATTGAACTCTTTATTTAAGCTACGTCTAATTCTTATTAAGTGCTACAGTTATTGCTCACCATGTTTCTTCTGATTCTAGGTTTGCAGTACGCGGTCCAGAGATTGAACTCACAATTGCTTATTCTTCTACCTGTCTGTTTTTTCACCAACTCCAATCCCTTAGGAATATCCGTTTCGCCATCCTTCCTCTTTATCTGTGTAATAAATTTCATCTGACATTTTCTGATTCTGATTATATGTGTCCTTTTTGTTTCCATTTTTCTCAAGACTTATGTCACCCAACTCTCGAGCCAATAGTTTAATTCATTAGATTATTGTTCTGTGAAGCCTACTCGGATAGACAAATATCTGATGAAACACCATGGAAACAACAGCCGAAACGCTTTGGCAATAATAATAAAAAATATGGATATTAGTTTAATTGTAAATAATGTAAGTATGGGTGGGGAGCCTGAGAAACTCTCTTCTTACTTCTTGCTTCCCAGTCAGCTTGGTTTGGTTTGTTTTACGGTATATCAACCTCAATGGGTTATTTAATAGCAACAACATTTTTATTGCAGATAATTTTTTAAAAATGTATTTCTGGTAATATTTTTCTTCAAAAATGTGAAGTTGGTAATATCTTTTTTTTCAAAAAATGTATTGCTGGTAACATCTTTTTTTGACCCCAGTTTAGGGGTTAACTATTTACCCATAGCTGGGACCCTTACAGATGCGACCACATCTGATCAGGGTGGACCCGTGAACACCAGGAATTAAGAGGTCGTTCTACGCTCCTCAAAACCTCCCGATCAAAGGCCTTGCTGTTGGGCGTAGTTTATCGTCTTACCCAGGACGTGGATGTAGTTTATCGTGAAAGTCAGGACGGGTCCCAGTCAGCAGTAATCTTCAGAAATTTAAGTGCAATGTCAATCTTTAGCTTCTATCTTTTCAATTCCTGTTCTTTTATTGTTCTCTGTCCTTAACAATATTTTTTCTTTTATATTCGTTCGAACCAGTTAATCCTTTGCGTCTTAGTGGCTACATAGCCTTCAAATTTAATCTTCGAAATTTAAATTCAATATCAATCGTTTGCTTCTGCCTTCTTAGTTCCTGTTTTTTTTTTATTGTTCTTCCTCGTTAATAATGTTTTTTTCTCTTATATTCATTAACACGCAGTAATCTCTTGTGTCTTAGTGGCTATATTGCCTTGCTTGTGTTGAAATGATTCACAAAAAAATATTCCGAATGTAAATAATATAAATATGCATTAAACTGCTTTGCGAAGTGCAGTTCTTCTATTTTGAAGCTCTTTTTTAGCTCATCTTCCGTGAAACCAACAACTGCTCAATAACCAACGAATATCTGCAGTTCTAGATAAAAGTGACAACAGCCTTCTCCTCGTGATGAACTGGCAAGTCGTATCGTATTCTTTTGTCAGTGAAAAACAATGAAAATGAAGAATACCTACAAAGCGTCGGATTGATTATGATTATGCATACACCAATTGCCATGAGGGAAATAATTAACTTCCTATCGGATTAAAGATAAGCAGAAGAAAATTGAAAACAAACAACAAATAAAACTATGAAATGTATTGAAAAATAATCGGTGATATTTTTCTAATCTTGGTAAAAATGATATAAATTTTTCCTCGTTCTAGAAAGATGTCTTTTTTCTTATTAACAAGGGTGTCTTTCTTCTTCACAACTTCGAAAGATATTGCAAACAAGGTAAAAGTACACGGAAAACACACCTAAGACAAAGAGAGCTTAATCGTGTGAGTTGTCAGAATGCTTTTGAAGATGAACAGTCGATCAAAGCGGGTGGAGATTTGGTCCTATTCAGTCATGTCACGTTCGTCTGTCGCTCAAAGCATTTTTTTAAAAATTTCCAGTCACAGTTTTGTTTTGTAGATGTTGTGTAGACGCGATTGGTAGAAAAGTCAATTCTTACAGTGGTAAAATAATTCAATGAAACAGGCTGTTTACTCTAGATTTTACTGTAGATTTGTTTACTCTAGATTTTACTCTAGATTTTACTGCATATTTTTTTAATGCTGTGTCCCTTGAGTACGTAACTGATGGTGGCTTTCTACAGAGTCCTTTTTCATTATTATCTGTGAATGGCCATTCCTTCTTGGGAAAGATAGTAATGGCTTCAAACTAACTTCTCCACGACTGCGAATTCAGAATTTTTCTTTTTTAAGTGGTTACCAGCGAAGGCTAGAAATCTCAGTATACCCTGCTATTTAACCTTTTAGCTGCTTGAGTTAGAGAAGTGACTGATGTCTTTCACAAGAACTTAAGTTAATGCAACTGTCTAGACTGGAAACTGAACTCGGCTCGTTGATTTCACTTACTGCACTGGCAACAATAGCTGCACTTCATGTAAAGTAGAAAAGTATAAAATGATTAAAATGCAATAAAAGAGATAAATAAATAAGTGTTCATTAGTTTAATTAAATTTATTTTTATTTAATTTAAATTGCAAGTGAAAAAGATTATCATGATAGATTTATTCTCCTTCTATGTGCTGGGTCTTCAGGGCATAATCGATCATGAGTCTCCATATCATCCTATCCTTTGCAGGTCTTAGAGATATTTATCTTTTTATTATCATTCTCACACGCTCTTTTGTAATTCATTTATACAAGCATCATTAAGTAAGTGAAACGCGAGGTAAATCTTCCTCTTTTGACTTCACCATGTCATGTGAGTATCAAATTTTCCAAGCCATCTTTCCTCAATATGTTTCTCAGAAATTTCCCTTTCGTCGAATATGTCCTCGCTTGGGACATAGATGAATTCACCCCGTTTGAATGTTGAGTTCTAAAAATGGCTTCTCCCAGTACATTAGTTTCTCCATATTATATATAGGACCCTTTCCTCAATGTTCCCCAGAAAATCCAACTCTTTTAATATGATTCTAAGTATAAGTATCATTCTGTTCCTAGTTTCCTTAAAACTTCCCCGTTTCTTACATGCTTCAACCATGTTATTCTTAGTATTCATCTGTTGAACCATATTTGTTGGTTTTATCTTGGCATTTTTGAATGCTAGTATTCAGATTAATTCAGTAAAGGCGTGGAGCAAATTTGAGGTCATGCATAAATTGGACTCGATAAAACCGTATCAAATATTAATATGCATCATTAACATTTCTACATTCAAGTTATAGCCAACAAAATCATCTTTATCACACTATAAGCAATAAGTTCTTGATGATGATAAAGATGATAACAAATAATTGGAGACAAAAAGGAAAAAAAAAAATGAACGTTAGACAGTTTATCCATACTTTCGATATAACGCCGTATGATATAACGATATATAGTCTTGTATAATTTTATATATCAATAAACAGTATTTATAAAAATATGAAGACGAAAATTTCTTGTGACACGTTTCATCCTTTAGGATTTCATCGGACTGGGCTTTGTCGATTAGGGGTGCACCGATTAATCGGCAGGTAACCGACCGATTGTCAAAGGCCGATTAATTGGTAATCAGCCAATTTGCTTATCGGTGCATCCCTATTATCGATGTTGCCACGTCTATACATGAATTTACTATAATTCCAGGTATATGAATTGGATCGTGAATACGATTCAATTGTAATAACTTATAACCATGGGATATTAATGTTTATCCCTTATATATTACATATATATATATATATATATATATATATATATATATATATATATATATATGTGTGTGTGTGTGTGTGTGTGTGTGTGTGATCTGCTACTTGCTTTTTGTTGTAAATGTATTTGACCCTATTTTTGCATATTCTATGTAAATAAAACACGCATGCACATAATTTTAAATGAAGACTTAAAATTTCTCGTAAAAACGTATTTAAATTCCAGTCTTAGCAACCAACTTGTTGCAAATATCAGTTTCACGTAACCCTCAACTTCAGGCATGAAAATTTCAGCTATTTTTGATATTTGAAATCGTTATTAAAACTAACGTAAGTTATAATTTATTGCAACAGTGATTTATTTTGAAAAAAATGGAATCTCTATTCATCTATCTACCTCTCTCTAAACAAACACATACACGCACTTATATAGGCACCTTCATTGAATTTTCCATATCTAAGACTTAAAATGATTCTTTTAAAATGAAAAAGGATACTTGAAGCTTTCATTTTACCTTTAATTGAAAGCCACATTATTAAATTTACTATTTCAAGTAAGCAAAATACTATGGTGTATTTCAAAAAGAAATTATATTGATT